TGTCTCTTAAAGAATGTATAGAAAACTTGGACATCATTTTTCTATTTTTTTCTATTTTTTATTTTTCTGTTCCTCTGCTGTTTCTCAAAAATGAGTTCTTATGGGAGTCACTATAGCACAGGCATTTCAGAAAAGCAAATTGGGTTATTAGAAAAAAGGATATTTCTTTCAAATGTGTTGGATTCAGAGATCTGTAAGCAGAGTTCAATCACATAACACTCCAATTCACAAAAGGGAGGGATAAGAAACCACTGATTAGCTTTTCCTATACAATCTTTTGGATCCCCAGAAATTGCTCTGGAGTGCTGCAGAGAAAAGGAGGAACTGGCAAAATTATGTCCTCTCTGTGCCCCTCCTTTTCATTCTTGTGAGTGGAAGCGCTATGCTGGTTCCATCCAATATTTACAGACCCTTATGTTCTGGTGGCAATATATTTTATCTTAACAGATACATTTTATTTTACTAGAGTGAACATGTAAAGTGTCCCATTAGCAGTTAAATAGCAAGTAATCCATCTTCTATACAGATAAAAATTATGTATCATATTGAAACATTGTATATAAACAGTGAAGATGTAAATAATTTGTGGAAGAAAAATAATTCCTACTAATATGTATTACTTATAAAAGGCTCGCAAGTGTAATATACCTGATATAAAAGGGAAAGGGGAGGAAACAAGCACCTTCACTCATTGATGGTGAGTGACAAATACTAGGCATACATACTTGTTATTCAACAAGTGCTGATAGCAAAGTTTCTCCCCACTTCCTGCAGTGGGCTTTCACCAGATGTTGGGGATTGGGCTATTCAGTCACATTGCATATATATTTTATTTTGACCATCTGAAACAGGAAAGTGTATTTAGATAAACAGAATATAATTCACACTGAAAATTAGCTGCTATATAATCAGCTAATACTTGGTCTTCAAGTGCATTGACTTGAGCTAGGGGCAGACAAACCTAGCTCTTAAGAGTTCGTGACAGGACACCAAACTCTTCTGGCCTTATAGACCTCAGTGTGAAGCAAAAGAGCTTATTAAGAAATGTGATGCTTGAAGAAGATGCGGAAGATTAGGCATTAGAAATAGTGCTTACAAAGATCTCTATGAATGGTATTATCTGAAGGTTGCCTTCTAGCATTTTTGGGAAGTCATTGGAAGGGATTGCATATTTTCTATTTCATAACCCTACATTATAGAAATGGAATGTTCAAGAATGAAGTATCTGTCTTAGCACAATGTATTCACCATTACAATCAATGAGGAATCTGTTGTTCATGCCTCTTATGCAACTGCTGTTAAAATCAGTGGGGCTTCTTCAGGGGAAATTCTTAGCTGTTTCTGCCCATAACTAAATAACCAAATATAGAGTGCATTCAATTGTTAAAAGACTGAATTAAGAACTGCTGGGCCTGGATTATCCCTGTGCTCAACAATGGAAATATTTTGATTTACCTCACATCACTTAATCTCTCAGCTCCCCAACCACCCACATACCCATTGATAATATAAAGATAATGGTATCAGGTGTCTTATAGTATGGTCATATGTATATATATATATTAGGGTTGGGCTGAGGTAGATATCCAGATGACTGAGCCTTCAACTCCCAGATACCCCTGCCAGCATGCCAAATGGTCAGGAATTCTGGGACTTGAAGTACCAAACATCTGGAGAATTATTTTCTGCTCACCCCTGAGATACCCCTGAGGTTTCTGCTACATGGCTCCCCCAGTTCCACCACCCAGACAGAATTCCCTTTTTCTTGATAGCTGGGTGCTTGCATTGGCATATAGGCATCCACCACTGCTTTGAAACCATCACAGCTGTTAGTAAACGTAAGATGAGGAGGAGGAGGAGGAGGAGGAGGAGGATAGAATGGGAAGGGTAGGATGATTGCTGGGTGCCAGGAAAAGTGTCTACCATGTTTCCTTATACCCCATTCTAGAGTATTTAAAAATGAATTGGATGAACACTTTGCAGCGTAGAGTCAGCCTTAAGAGATTATTTCTGCATTTTGGATACATATTCTTTTTAAGCAGACTTCATTTTAAATCTGTAGTGAGCACTGACTGTTGTGCTCAATGAATACATAAGCATTTTTCTCACATACTTCCTGAAATGCACATCATATGTGAAGCGGTGGACTAGAAGAGTGGAATTTCTTGTTTTGTTTACAGAGACTTGAGAAATGACCATTACATATATTTTATATCACGCAGTAGTCAAGGCTCTCTGGTTGGTTAACATAAAATAAAATATTAAACACATATATGCAAACATTAATTTAAAGGGAAAAAACCCTTTAACAACTGCAGTCGCTGTGATTCAGCATAGAAGCTGAACATTGGCCTAATTTGGACTATCATGTCTCAGTTTAATCAACTTTTGTCTGGGAATGTAGCTTTTCTATATTAATTGTGTGCAATCAAACTAGAAAGCCTCTAACTATTGTTTCCTATTTCATCCAAAATGAAAAGATACAATTGTTAGATTTGGAATAAACCAGGATAGTAAACAGTTTGAACTTTGCTTAAGATACCAGTTCTTTGGAAGCAGTACATTAACTATTTAAACTGTTTAACCGTAGTTTCCTGATTTGGATGAAATTATGGTTAATTGTGGTTTTCCTGGTTTGTTTAAACCAGAAGGAAGTTACATGCATAGGTTAAAGTTCTGTTTCATATCTCAATATATTAAGTAATGATATGATTCTCTGAATGTGAATATTGAAGAAAAATTGAAAACAATTCTGGAGCAGAGGAGATAGACTAGTTTCTAAAATATAAGATGTCTATTAAGTAGAAGTGGTTTTATGTTGTTTTTGGCATATTTTAATCGGTTATATACTGTAAAAGTACAACATATGTATATGTTGTATACCTGTACCATTCCATTCTGAAAGTACATATGAACAGCTTCATTGGTCTGCCACCAGCCCTTTCAACCTACTTTACATCAAAGCTGGGTAATTTATTCAACTTTGAGGGCTATTATTTTCTTAATTATTTTAGTTCATGAAATCAAGGCTGTTTACATTTTATTGTTAGATTGCACATTTAAATTGGTAGAGTTGGTATCTTTATTCAAGAGTATTTTCACTTAGAAATTTGTTGTGCTGGTGTGCAAAATGTAATTATATCCATAAGATACCTGCAAACTCAGGTACTAGCTTTTAGTTGCCAAAGTACTTATAATTGATTTTTCTGGCAAGGAAAGGCAAAGCAAGGTCCCTGGTGTTGTTCCTCTTTGCTCAGTTTATGGGATTAAGTTGGTTTCTCCACTTGCCATAGATGTCCTTCCTGGGAGGCAGGAGTATAGTCTTGCCAGTGGACAGAAATGTGCTTCTCTTCAGTTCTGCAGACTTGGGAAGCAGAATACTTTGAAGTCTTGTATTATGTAGTCCTGATTGCTGTAAAGAAAGATAATTGAGCTCAGTGTTTAAAGAGAAACTGCAGTATTATCAAACATTCTGCAAACATTGGCCACTACAAACAGTTATGTCACAGAATATAACTGGCATACATGTGCATATAATGTTCCTTGTGATCTGATGGCATCATACCAGTTTACTCACAGTTCATTTTGCATAACCAAAATGGGAGAGACAAGTATTTATCTTGCTGGGATTGAGAATTTTATAATTGGAATATAACTAAACTTCTTCCCTCCCCAGCAAAATACTACTATATGAATTAGGTTCCCAGTGGTACTAAAGTTGTTTGCAGGGTTTTTGTATTACTCAGACTAATTATATTGAAGTGACACTAATTTGTTAATCTGGCACATAATAAGAACAATTAGGAAGATTAAAGGTTAAGAACACATTTTGTCCAGAACATTTAAATGCTGGTTTTATCATTACATTTTTCAATTAACTAGCATGCCATCTTTGGTGCTTAAAGTTCCATAGATCATGTTGCTAGCTTTTTGCAGAAATAAATTATTGCCAACGGAGGAATTACCACTTGTAACAGGATCAGACATATTTTATTTGTATTCATTTTTGGGGAAATGAATTAGCAAAATTAGCTGTTGGTCATAAGCTTATTAATTCCTTATTTTAAAATAAGGTATTTCTGTTCAGTACAGAGGACTGTGTGTTGAATATATTCTGGACAGTCTTAACCAGAGAGATATGTAGAGGTAGAAGACTACTGAGTACTTTGAAGTCTTGTAGTATCTAGTCCTCATTGTTTCTAAGGGTTACTGAGCTGAATATTTAAAGGAAAACTGCAGTATCATCACATAGCTATATTTGTCCTGAAACATCTAGAAACACAAAAAGATCAAGGAGGCAATGTTTACTGATCAGCTGAAACCTGATAGTGTAGAAGATGAGCTAAAGCAAGGCATGATGCTTGTTGTTAATGCAGCTTGATTGACTGTTGAATACAGGTGCTGAGAGTTAAGCCATATTCCCTCATTGAGGTTTGGCCTTATACCTGCTAGGTCCTGGCTTAGCTTTTAAAGTGGTACTGCAACAAAACCCATATTTATTACTAAAACAAGTGTTTTATACTGAAATGTTTATTTTAAAATATGTTTATTTACAAGGTTAAATCTATATTTGTTAAGGATTATAATCTTTACAATTTTAAATGTATGATTTTTTTTAAAGAAGGCTATGAAATTTATAGATGCACTATTGGTGGTCATTTTGTTTGCTTGCTTTTGCATCAGATGGCTTGCATATTAGCTGATTTGGGGAGAGGCTGAAATACACACTCTGAACGTGCAGGAATATTACTCTGTTGCTCTATTTTTCACATTGTATGTATTCAGCAAGTCACTTCCAATAGTCAACCAATAGATGTTTGTGAGACTTCTTTGTAACTATTGCACATCTGTAGAACATTTTTTAAATTACTGTGAAATCTTTTATATGCTTGCTCAGAAGTAACTCCCCTAAATCTGGTGGGGCTATTCCCTTTTAAATGAATTTAGAACTACAACTTCAGTTATGCATTTGTAAAATGTATTGCTTTATCTCTTTTCAGGGTGCCGGTCAGGATAAACTTGGAATCTATGTCAAGTCCGTAGTAAAAGGTGGTGCTGCAGATGTGGTTAGTAATAATTCTGACTATTAAAATAGTCTAAATAGTTTAAGTGTAACTTGGAGTATTCCTAATGTTTATGTGTTCTAGTCTCATTAATCCCATACTAAATAGTGTAACTTTTTTGTATTAAATGTAACCAGGATGGTCGGCTGGCTGCAGGAGATCAATTGCTTAGTGTGGATGGACGCAGTTTGGTTGGCCTTTCCCAAGAAAGGTACATCATTCTTTTATATCTTTATTGCACATTAGATAGGACTGAGGGATTTTTCCATTTCTTTCCTTAAACTCTTAATTTATTAAGTATTAAGCTTCTTCTCTACCATCCCTCCAGTGTATCATCGGACATGCTATGATTATTGAAGCACATCAGTTCATGCAGACACGTTTAGCACAGTGCTATGACTTACAATGGTTCTGGAAGTTTTGAATTTTAGGAAACATGAAGTTTATCTGGACTGGAGACATGCTGGTGTACTTGTTTGTGGTATGTCCTTCTATCAGTATGTCATCTAGAAACCAGGAAGTTGCCTAGAAGACACTCAAGCCCATTTCCCAAGGTCGTGGAAGAGAAATGGCATGGACTATTAATTAATTTATTACATTTATATTCCACTTATTTTCCATCAAGGTGACTCATATAATCTCCCTCCTCCTCTCAGGCTTACCCTCACAACTACAGTCCTGTGAGGTAGGTTAGGCTAAGAGTCTATAACTGGCCAAAGTCACCCTGTTAGCCAGAGCTCCCGAATCCCCAGTCCTGTACTCTTAAACACTATACTGGCTCTCTTACACATGGACCAGTGCACATTTTCTGTTGTGATACCACTAACAGCAGCTTGGAATGCCTCATCAGAGTTCTCAGAAAAAAAATAGTTTTCATAACTCTGCAATTTTTATAGGTAGGTTCTGTGAGTATGTAGGGGTAATTATATGGCGGTGGATTGAGTAAATGTTTTTAAACAAAATAATTGGTGTTTATTATTGATAAAAGAAGCTGAAGCTCTATATATTGTAAAGATTGTTGAATTCAAGATGGATTGTCATGTCATCCAAACCTGGAAGACAGATCCCATCATGGGTTGTGGAAAGTAATGAATGAGTCACTTAGCAAAAACAGCAAAAGCCTCTTGCTTCTGTTGTTGCTAGTGACATCCTTTCTACCAGTGACCAACTGGCACTTTGGACTAAGTGGCACTTTCATTAGCTTCTTACCCCTTTTAAAAATGGACAGCACAAATGTGTACAATCAAAATCCTTTTTAAAAATTATTCTTGGGGTTCTTTGCAAGTGCACAGTTGTCATGGCAAATATCGGCTTTCAAAGAGTAGTAGACAGCAGCCATGTAAATTGACCATGTGAGGCAGCATATAGATTACTTTGCCTACACTTGAAGCTTGTCAATTGGTGAGCTTTCAGCTGAAAAGCAAAACAATAAAGGGGAAGCGGGTTGCCCTGAAAAGGGGTGGTGAGTACAGCTCCCACTCTGGGGTGTGGTCTTCCAGTTTTAAAGTATTGCCCTGATGGATCTCAGTGCTCTCCACCTTTTCAACACTTCCCTGAGTCTATAGGTACTCCAGAGAGGTGAGATCTACATCCCACCCCCTTTTCTCAAGCATTTACTTTTGACACCTATCAAAAGAGTTTAAAAAAAATCCTATCTGCCAAATTTGAGTGTCTTGTGGGGAAAGGCCATATTTGCAGATTTCATGGCTTTATATTTTCCTGTCCCAAAAATATGCTGTTCAAATCTTTCTGGAAACTTTTTGGGTTATGTTATTAGGTTCTGATTATTAAAATTTGAAGATAGGTCAGTTAGGTTAGCCATTGCTTGAATGTAAGAAATTAGATGAAAACTTGTTTTGTTCGTGGTTCTAAAAGGAATCCTTATTCAATATAGCACTTCTTTCATCAAACTAATTTTGTCTGTTATCTGGAAAATTGTGGCTATTATGTGTGAACATTCACAATAGTAAGATGTCACATTGCAAGCTTTATGCTGCTTATGCAGTTCCGTTGCTTTAATATCTCAACTCCAATTTGAATAGTATGACTGTATTTGTATATTTGCAGGGCTGTTGTTCTGTGTGAGTGACTCTAAATTTGTATTCTTTGTTGCTGCCAATTCCAGTAAATATACTTTTATTAACTCTTGCCTCAGGGCAGCAGAGCTGATGACAAGGACAGGATCAGTAGTGACACTAGAAGTGGCAAAACAAGGAGCAATTTACCATGGTCTAGCGACTCTGCTTAACCAGCCTTCTCCAATGATGCAAAGAGGTAAGCAGCTGAAATAGATTTGTCCATATACCACATTTTAAGTTATGAACCTGTCTTAAACTTCTATTCTTTCTAGAAAGGCAGCCTGGTTCATTCATTGGCTTCTGCCTCAGAGAGGGGGCATCCCAAAGCCTGCAACACTTAAGAGTGGAAAACTGCATGTCTGTTCAGAAAGTTGCACTGACTTCAGTGGGGTTTACTCTTAAGCAAGTGTATATAGCAGGGATTGGGACCATCTAGCTTGTAGCAGTTCCCCACTCCCTGGAGAGGGGGCAGGAAGAGCCACTGGGATCTAAAACTGCAATCTATGGATAAAACATAGCCTGCTGGTCCTTAGACTGTTGCTAGTGCCTCGGTTTTATTGTATTTGCAGCTGTACTGTGCCATACTAGCCCTCTTAATTTTTGTCACCATCCTGGCCCTTGTATGAGATGGCCGCAGAGTTTAAGAGCTCCTTCATTTGTTGAAAAGTAGCTGTGACTCTCATTCAGAGACCCCTAAGCATGTTACTCCCTTGAGCTTGCAGTTAGGTACTGCTATATCAACAATGATTGGCTTTAGGGAGGAAGTGAGAGGTCCAGCTGAATCTCTCTTCAACAAATCTGCCTCCTAGTGGATGGAGGGGAGAGTTCCCTGTCTCAGGACCATGATTTGGCAAAAAACATAGGAGGGGATTGACAGACCAATCTGAAGCCTTTAGATACTTTAACTTGAAGTTCTGTTAAACGGGATTGGACCTAATGGCCTTATTAGCCTCTTCCAGCTCTACTATTCTATGAAGTCTTAATTTTCGTCCATCACCACTAAAAGGCCCTCTCCTACCACTGACACTTATCTGGGATGAAGGGAATGGCTGCCAGTTCAGATTCCAAGTTCAGGCAGCTTTGAATCTGAGCAATAATTATTTTAGAAACTCAGAATTATTTTATGTCATTAAATGTGATTTCTTACATCTCCTGTGCTTTTTGTGCCCTTGCAAATAGAGAAGCTCAGCAGAAGATATTGAAATCAGGGTAATCCAGAAAATTATTTTTACTTTAATAATCTTACCCTATTTTTGTGCAGTTTCAGATCGTCGTGGCTCAGGTAAACCCCGACCGAAGAGCGAAGGTTTTGAGCTGTATAATAACTCTGCTCAGAATGGATCTCCTGAGAGCCCTCAGCTGCCTTGGACAGAATATACAGAACCAAAGAAGTTGCCAGGGGATGACAGGCTAATGAAGAATCGAGCTGATCATCGATCTAGTCCCAATGTAGCAAGTAAGCAAGAGATTGTTCAAAATGGGTTGCATGAACTAAATTAAATTTGGAAATAAGCCTAAAGGATAGGCTGCAAAAATTGATAGCTATCAGACAAAGGATATAAAAATAAATATACTAGTGAGAGAGGCAAGTAAGATGGTGATCATTATTATTTATATCAATTTGTAGGTAACATTTTTGTAGGCTAAGAAAGTTTATAGGAAAAAAAAAAACCCCTTCTTATTGCTCTACAGATCAGCCTCCAAGTCCTGGGGCCAAGAATTCTTACTCAGCTGGAACTACTAACAAAATAACATCTGTGTCTACTGGAAATCTTTGTACAGAGGTTAGAATATTTGTTAAAATGAATGGCATATTTGTTTTCTTTGAATAGGTACAAATCTATAAATGATCTGTCTGTATTCATACAGGAGCAGATGCTGCCACCCAGACCTGAAGCATATCCTATCCCGACACAAACTTACACCAGAGAGTATTTCACATTCCCTGCCTCCAAGTCTCAGGATCGAATGGGTCCTGCCCAGAATCAGTGGTCAAGTTATGAAGAGAAGCCCCAAATTCCAGCAGAAAGTAACCATTATATTAATTCTGCAATGCAGGTTAGACATAATTTGCTCTAAATATTTTAAGTGGCTTTAGGATTGTGGCATGGGAAAAGAATCAGCATGAGCGTCTCCTAGCAATGAGTACCTGTAAAAGGATCTCTGATTTATACACCTGCTATTAATCAAGAAAGCAAATTTAGTATGTGGTTAGCTTCTAACATAAGTAATTAAAGTTTCAGTTAAATGGTTATTAAGAAATATCCTTTTTAAAGCTGACAATATGTATTTGAAATACAGGAATAGTCTAATAAAACTTGCACTGGAAACTTCTATATTTTCTGAAAAGATTGCTTCTTAAGAGTGTATAAGTACAGTCTTGTATTAGGAGATTGCATTAACTATTGTCAAACCATGAAATGCCTGTTCTAGCAGTGTTTGCTTTTAAATGCCCAAGTCATTAGGAATCTGTTAGTTGCATTTTCACAGTGCGTCTGACACAAGTTGCTTTGTTTTCAGTACTTCTGGACTAATAGAGCATAAGAAATGCTTTCATTCCAAACAAGGCATTCTTTCTGGGTCATGATTAAGGTCATTGATAGAGAAGAACAGAATAAGTTGTCTTTGTTCATAGTTCTCCACTAAGTTTCTTGAGCATCTGCTTAATTCTTTGTTTAAAACAGATCATAAAAATGCATTCAAGCTAAAGCCTATAAATAAGATCGTACCAGATAACAGAATGTATCTGGTATGTGGTGCCTTACTACCAAATGGTAATGCCATGCTATGCAATTTATTCTATTAAATCCCTATGATGATTTGCACATTGTGCTAAATATCATCATAAAGATCTAACAGAATAAAGTAATAAAAGCAGGGCTTACCTGTGAGGTGGAACATTTCATTGGCACTTTGGCGACTCATTATTTCAAGAGAAAATAAAACCAATAAGAGTGGGGGGAAATAAACCAAGGTGAACAGATGGTTCTACTTCCTCTGCACTTCTTGTGTTTAATTGTGATTATAATAGAAGCTTGCCACAGCCGTTGAAGGCGGGACTAGAGAAATTTTGTATGCTTCAGTTGTTCCTGTAAGCTGCTTGCCCTAAATATTTCTCTGCAAGCAATTTTCAGAGGTGACAGTTTGCAGCATTGTTCTAAGATGTGTGAGAATTGGTGGGCAACATGAATTCTGTTGCTGTTTATACTTCTCCTAATGTAGCTTTTTAATCCTGTATCCAAGCTTTTGGACATTTAGAAGTTGCATAGTTTGTTGAGAATTGTTTCAACATGATACATGTGAAAGTGTTGACTTTAAGGAAAAGTGAGTAATCATTGCATCATCATAGAATGTTGGTAACATAGGATTCTGTATTTTTGTTACATATGAATATTAGCATGTGAACACTAACATTTTCTTTTCTTCAAGCGTGTAACTCGTTCTCAGGAGGAACTACGGGATGATAAAGTTTATCAGCCAGAAAGGAATCGATTAGAGGTTGTCATACGAAAGGATGTAGACTATATTGATCAAAAATCAGACAGTGATCCATGGATGAACTCTTCTGTGGATTCTAGCACATCAAGCCAAGAGCATCTAAACCATTCCTCTAAACCCATTCCTCCTGGTTCTTCTTTAACCAAAAGTGGACCTGGTCGTTGGAAAACTCCTATTGTTCCTCAATCAATATCACTGGCAGCTTCCCAGTCCACCAGAACAGACCTTCCTCCTCCTCCGCCTCCTCCACCCGTGCACTATGCAGCTGACTTTGATGGACTGCAAATGGATTTACCTCTTCCACCTCCACCTCCACCTCCAAGCCAGTTCGGGCCACAGTCGTCATCTCAAGTTGCTGCTGCGGAGCGCAAAAAGAGAGAAGAACATCAAAGGTGGTATGAGAAAGAAAAGGCACGACTGGAGGAAGAACGAGACAGGAAACGTCGAGAACAGGAAAGAAAACTGGGACAAATGCGTACTCAGCCACTAATTCCTGCTCAGCCCCTACTTCCTCCTGTTTCAGTTCAGCAGGTGAAACCAGAAAAGCCTTCAACATTGCAGAGACCACCAGAAACAGTCATTAGAGAATTGCAGCCCCAACAGCAGCCCCGAACCATTGAGCGAAGAGACCTGCAGTATATCACCATAAGCAAAGAAGAGCTGTCCTCTAGTGATAGCCTGTCTCCTGACCCTTGGAAACGGGATGCCAAGGAGAAACTGGAAAAGCAGCAGCAGATGCACATTGTGGATATGTTGAGCAAAGAAATTCAAGATCTTCAGAACAAGCCAGACAGAACAGCTGAAGAGAATGATCGTCTACGCAAGCTCATGTTGGAGTGGCAATTCCAGAAACGACTCCAAGAGTCAAAGCAAAAAGATGAGGATGAGGATGAAGAAGAAGATGATGATATTGATACAATGCTGATTATGCAGCGACTGGAAGCTGAGAGAAGAGCAAGGGTAAAATGAGATAATCTGAAAGCTACATTTTTGTGTGCTTAAAGCTTTTACCACTATAGGATAAAGGAGGACTGGACTCTCCTAATGTCCCTGTCTTTCATTGTTCATAATGAAGTTTGGCCTTATCTATCCTGATATGTCCAATTAAGTGGTGTATTATAAGCTGCTAACTAAAAAGCTTGAGCTGGGGATAGCCCTCTTTCCAATCTCCTTTTCTCAGAAAAAAGTGAGCTTGGAAATGGCAGGGAAGATTAAACATCCAGTATCATTCTTCTATAATATATAAGATGATACCAGTGAACTTTGGTAGCATAAAGATAGCTGTCTGCATATGATGCACATATACATAGCTATCCAAAATGGTAAAAAGACAGGGATCTTTGGTACTTAAAAAGAAGTAAGTCAAGCTCTAATTCTTCCTAATTTTTATACATTTATGAAGCCCGTGTCCCTTAAAACTGGTAGTTCATTGTAAAAAGTGCATAACATATTATGGATTTTTCATTCCATAGGCATTATGATTTTTTGCTTTCATGAAAGACACAGCTTTTTATGATTCTTAAGAGAAAACAGTCTCTTAACAAAAAGAGTCTCTTAACAGTCTCTTTGATCAAAAAGTGATAAATTCATACACAGAATTCACAGAATCTATACTAGCAGGTTTAGGTTAAATACTGTATTGATGCTAATGAATGGTCAGATTAGAGCTGTATTTAATTTTCAGAATTGGCAAGATTTGTTTTATATATTATTTTGCAATTATTTGCTTTCCAAGTTTAACTTTTTATGCATTTCCCATATTTTTAGTTATTTTCTGCAGAGGTTAAGTTTCCTACATGGCAACTTAAACTTATTAATCAAATATTAAATGTGTCCTTAATTAGACTGTCCCATTATTGTCACACAGATTTTAAACTGTATAAAAAAATCTTCATTAATAGTTCATCTAAAATCAAGTTTTCATCTTTAGTCATCTAACTCTTTAATCTTACTTTCAAGTCTACATCCTATTCTTTGTTAGTTAATCATCTCTGTTGCATAATCTGCTAAATCCTTCTGTTCCACTAAGGCTGCCAAATTAACACTGCATACATACTTTTCACAGTTTTGAAACAGTTGCTGGCTTTTCCCCTTGTTAAGAATAAAGTATTAAATATGAGGTATATAATTGGCTACTTTTTCACAATACACCGTTATCTTGAAAGTGATTTTTATCCACATATAGATGACTATGTGTGGTGTTGTAAAAATGCAAATTACAGAAATGACCTGTTTTGTTTTTTAAAAAAACCTATTATGGATTTAGATTTAGAGATACCACTGACTTTATATTAGAGTAACAAACACTGTTTTTTTTCCTTTAAATACAGCTGTAGTAACAAATCAAAGAAAAATGCTTTTGGCATAGTGCAAATTTAAATTTATTCTTATTTTCACTGTGCATCTTTCTTTTTCCTTCTCTTATTATCTGCAGCAGACTGCTATGCCAGCAATCTCTGTTCTAGATTTGGTATGTTCTTATTTCTTTCTCTTCAATGCCTTTTCCTTATTGCTTTTTTCTTTTCTTTTCTTTTTTAAAATTAATAATGATCCAATATGCATCTTTTGAGTGCGTCAAGGCAGGGTGTAATGTATTAAACTAGTTGCAAGTGACCACACAACTGTTGCTGGAGGTATGTTCCTATTTTTTTTTCTCCTGCCTTCTTTAAATGTTGTGTTCTGTTTGCATCTTTGAATTGTTTGCAGCTGTGACCTGCCATAGTTAAATGAACTGTGTATTTGACAATCATCAAAAATCTTAGCAATTTGAAAATATGATATGTGAGTGAGGCTTCATAGTTCTATTACTTTTTTGTTTTAATTCCGTTGCCCTTTAAACCATTTATCAATGTATTCTAACTATTCCCAGAATCCAACTTTTAAAGTATTGATCTTCTCATGATGTATTTACATAGTTTGGCACCTAGACTGATTGCCCAGAAACAATTCATTTTAACAGTACTCTTCTTTAAATGCTACCTCTAGGCTAAGCATTTTAACTCACTTTTAGCTATTCTGTATGTCTAAAATAAAATTTCCTTTCTGAGCATTGCACCAACACACCAACAGAGCAATACAGCGTTAAGTTAACAGCATCAAAATATATGAAGAACAGTGCATCTGTTTAATCTTTTCAAAATGTACACAAAGGTACTCTATGAAACAGAAACAAGGTTCATTATATTCTGATCACCTGATCATTTCTCACTTCACTTAATCTTTTTAAAATCATACTTGGGGTTTGTTCTATGACAAAGGTCTTGAAGGAGTCAGTGATCTGGTTGATACAGTGCAGTTTGATGCTTTCCCTCCCCAGCAAATTTTTTCAAAAACAAAACACAGTGATTGGACATTAAAAACAACTTCCAAATTATAGATGCATTCTATCTCTTTCCAGGTTTTGGATAAAATCAATCCTAAATTACATCTCTCTTATTTCAAGGGAAGAGATTTAAGCATCTACTTAACTGTGTTATTAAAATCAGTAGAACTAAATATGTTTAACTTTGGCTGGACCATAATCTCAAGAAGTCTATCATATGGAATTAAAGTTAAATATCTGTCCTATCCTTTCCCCCAACACATTTAATTTTATAATACATTTTTACCCTATAGAATACATGTAATTTTTTTCTTACTTGGTGCAACAGTTTGATCTTAACAATTTGAGCTCTTTTAAGCAGTGTGGGACATAGTCCAGTAGTTCTCCTTTATTCTTTCATGATGTTTTCCCCCACAGGTTTTAAAAACAGATAAAATCTTTACCTTTTCAGGGACAGCTTCTGAAATCAGTTTGTCTTCTGTAAGGTCTTCTAGTAGTATAGAATGATCTTTTGGATAGAAACAGGTCACCTTTAAAAGTGAAGAAATACATGTCACTTCATGAGGTGAAAATTCATGATCTTCTGCCCACTTAAAGTGACTGCAAAAAGTTCCTTCACTATAAAAATCTTTAAACAACTATTTTATGAGCAGAATCACAGGTACTAGGACTTCAGCAGTCTAAATAGCTACTTGTTGACAAGACCAGATCATTATTAGCTGCCATTTTTTTTAAATCTAGGATGGGGAGGAGACTTATCCCCCTGACAAGTGCTCAGGTGCTGTGCCCACCTCCTTACCAGAAAGGTGGTGAAACATCTAGTTGGAGCAATATGATGGAAAAGGAAGCAAATGCAAAGCACTTGTGTTAACTTTGCATATGTCAGTAGCTAGTCTAATGGTCTAATGCCAAGGATACCTGAAATGTGTCTTTGTTATGGGAAAACAGTGTATTTCCTTTACGCATTTCTTTAGGATAAAGAAGTATCTTTCCTAGAGTTTAAATAGGAAAACTAAAATCCTCAGTAGGTGTTTCTTTTCAACAATGCAATACTTCTCTGGGGAAACAATTCCTTTGAATGGAGAATTTATTACTATACTAGGGAAGATTCTTTTAGTTTTATTTGGGAAAAAATTGAAGATAGATCTTTGTTAGCTACAGGATGAAGAGCGTAGACGGCAGCAGCAATTGGAAGAGATGCGTAAACGGGAAGCAGAAGACAGGGCTAGGCAAGAAGAAGAACGTCGGCGCCAAGAGGAGGAGCGGACAAAGAGAGAGGCTGAGCAAAAGGTTATGGTCCTTTAAATGAAACAAGAAGCTCTTGTATGCTTCATCTAACTATACATTTGATTATATGAAGTGTGATTAAGTAGTAACCCATTCTATTGTGTTGTGTTGATCACTGCTGGTATCTTGAACATAAATGTTTCATCTCATACAAGTTCTATATTAACTTATAAAAAGTTCTTCTATCCCACAAGGGGCACTGCAGACGTAATTCTAACCATGGTTTAAAACTGGGCTGCAGGAGTGCCTCTTCTATATCTGTTTCCTTTCAAGCATGAATTCTTACTGGCCACTTTCAAATGGTTGAATATTGCATCTGGCTAACAGTGGACAAGTGTAAAACTGAGCCAAGGTTGAGTAGCATTCCGCTTCCCAATACATTAGATTCTTTCAGTTTTGTGCCAAATTATGACAGACAATGATAGATCATTATGTTTGGTTATTTAAATTCAGTAACTTGAATAGTCATATCTTTAGGCACCTAATCATGTAAAGCAAGAAGCTTTATGAAGTTATCAATGCAGAAGTGATACCTGTATTTCTAGGGCAAGGTATTGTTATAGCCATAAATGCTAATACATTGGCAAAAATGTGAACCAAGTAAGTAAACTTCAATGAGGTGTTCTATTTTGATCTCTCTTCCTCTGTAAATTCTTGGAATATCTGGTGCACCTTCATAATTTTCTTCATGCAAATCTGTACCATATTCAAGTGTAGAAATGTCCTAATATTTGAGGAAGTCAATAATTTTTTGTATTGGGACAGGTGACTAATTTGCTTGGTATAAGGAAGAAAATTGCATCTGAGTCTTTAGGGGATAAACATCACCTTATATTTGAAGTTTGCCATTGACTCATATCATTGTGTTCCCTTTGGACTTTCAGAGGCGTCAGGAAGAAGAATATTACAATCGTTTGGAAGCTGAAAGGCGCCGGCAACATGATGAAGCAGAACGGAGATTGCTGGAACCTGATGAGCCTGGTCTGTACAGACCTCCGCTTCCACGGGAATATGAATTCCCACCCCCGCCCCCTTCATCTAATGCTCCTCCTCCCCCACCTCAGCGAAACACCTCTTACCTCAAAACACAGGTCCTCTCCCCTGATACGATTTATACTGCCAAGTTTGTTTCATACAGTGATGATGATGATGAGGAGGAGGATTCCTGTCTAGCAGCAGGTCAGGATAAGTACTCCGGTACAAGAAAGTCTTATGGTGACCTTCCTCCTGCCACCCTTAAGTCACAGCAGCCCTCACGCCAGCCACGCCCAGCCTCAGATGGCATCTTTCTGTCCAACTCATTCCAGCCATCCTCGGTCAATGCCAACAGTACTGCTCACAAAACCAGCCAGCCCCCTCCCCCACCAAACAAACCGAGTTTCATCAGTCCCAGCAACTCAAAAGGTAGACCTAAATTTTAATTCAGAATCTTTATGAAAATCTCTGCACATTTCCCACTATGGTGTTCTAAACAAAATCACTTCATGATTATTTCTCACTCGATCACTGTCCTCAGCATGGTGATTCAACTTTAAACCTGATGTGCTACTATAAATCCTGTTTTCAAATGTGTGTTCTTTCCATTTTCTTACCAAACTCTCTACAATTCTTACTTTCATATAATGAAAGCAAAATGATTTTGTAAATTCCTATTCAACATGCTAAAAGTACTGTTGGTTTTGGCTTCTGTACTGTATCTCTTTCAGTGACTGTTTCTTACTTTCATTGGGTCCATGGTGCTTTCACATTTCTGAGCCACATGTTTCTCATGATAATAAGACATGTGTGTCTAGTTCATTATTAATGGGAAGATGTTGACCTTCTGCTCAATATTCAGCATCTAAATAGTGTGCAAATGGCTTTAGAAGTGTACTTGGCAACAGCTGTATTTGAAATACTAGGTGTACCTTTGGGGAGAGGAGAGTAGTTAGTTGACAGTCCAATAGTAGAAGTCTATCTTCATGCTTAAGGAAAAGTTGCTTAGAACCTACCTTTTTAATCAGGCACAGAACCTACCTTTTTATTAGTGCTATTTATTTTTTATTTTTATTTCTACTTCTTCCATTTTTCTTTTCTTAAGTTCCTTTTTCTAACTTTTCCATACCCCCTTATTGTAAGCACAAGTAACTCAAGTATCCTAATCATTTTGGCAGCAAATAATTTCACTAAAAATGTAACACAAAGAGAATAAGGATTCAAGACCTGCAACAGTTTGTGCTTGATTTAATGATGAGGTGGCAAGTGAAAACCAGTTTATAACTGATACTTTCCAAACATTTCCCCAATTTAATTTTGTAGCAAGACTGCTTGGGTGTTACTTCTCTTTCAACCCTCCAAACACCATGTGCACCGAGCAAGGTTTAAAAGGGTCAAAATAGGAGGGGTGACCTGCAGGCTTTTTCCCAGCTGCATCCCTGTTCTCTCACCACGCATAAAAGTGATCTTCCAAGCCAAAAGATTGTATAATTGTTTGAGCATAGCATCGCTCTAGTCTGGAGAAATGAAAGTCCCCTCTAGCTGTAGCCCTGTGCAGCATTTCCTAGGTATATAGGGGGATGTATGCATGCATTAAAGTCCCTCTTCCAGTGTCCCCACTTGCCCAATACTCTGGTAGACCTTTATGCATTGAACATAAAGGTCTGAAGAAGGCTCTGCCATGTGCTTACAGTAATACAAATCTTTGCTAATCTTTGGCCATCACAAAAAATCAACTCTCCCAACTCTTTCATATTTTGGAGGATTTACATCTTCCAATAATTCTTACTAACATCTCATTCTAAGAAAGAAAGAAATTTTAGTATTTTTTGGTAGTTACTGAGGAATGCTTTGTAAGTTAATGCTTCATTGTAACCTCATTGAATAAACCATATAACTAATTCTAGCTATTCTTATTTCACATAAATTTGAAAAAGGCTACAGAATGGGTCATAGTCTTCCTCAGTGTTCATTGTTCAGAGAGGACTGCTTGTGTAAAGTACAAGGCTCTTTGCACAAATTGCAGAATTTGCTATGCAGCTTAATGGCTCCATCTTACTAATACTCACACTTCTGTACTTTAATATTAACATATGGCAAACCATGCTTCTGCAAAACTGTACTTTGGCAGCTCCTTCCACTGGATCATTTGAGATCACTTTTTTAAAAATCCTCTCAAATTTGGGAATAAAATCTGAGTTATCTTGGCTAAATAGACAACTGAAGTTGAGTTTCACTACTTCAGGCAGATTTTTCAGTATTGAAACAATGATCACTAAATTTAAAATTTGGCAGTAGGCAAAAGAAAATAATCATTTGATTGATTTTTAAGGCATATTCAGTATATCTATATTCAGAGGTAAATCTCACTGAGTTCATCTGAGCTTATACATACCAGTCTGTAGGACTGCATTCTGAAAGCCAATATACTGTTAAATGTTACACTGTAATACTGAAAGCTGCAAACCAGATTAATTTTTAATATTCAGGTTCAATAGTTGAAATTCTAAAAAACTAATGGAAGGAGCATCTTTTTTCTTTTGTATAGATCAAAGATCGCAAGAAAAACACATGATGAAGTACCAAGGGACTAAAGATATGAGTTAAAAACAGAAAGGGATAAATGGAAACAACAGTAACAGTAAAAATAGCAACAGAGTTTAAAATCTGGGTACAGTGTTGGTATTTCAATCAGAAATGATGTGTTTAGTCTTGTGGCCTTTGGTTAGAAAAATATAACTTCTGTGTAGAATTTTTTTCTTGTGTAAGAGTTAACCATAAAGGTGCAGTGCTGTGAAGTATATACAAGTAAAGGCTTATTTAAAAGAGATGCAACTAATTCCACACTGAATATATACTAAAAGTTACTAAACGTTTTGCAGTTTGATTATTCAGTTAATATATTAAATTAGCCTATCAGAACATTGTAGGAAGAACACTTTCCATATCTTCTTACATTATATAGTATATGCATATTGTTCAAGCATTAACTCAATATATTCATCTTTGAAACAGAAAGGTTATTTAGGATGCAATCCTGCACACAGGCTGTCTAAACTCTATTAAGTTTCTTAGAATTTCAGCAGCCTCACTCTACACAAAATTTGCGTAGTGGCATTTGGCATGCTTGCTTTAATGCTGCTTTGTAATTATCATTCTACATACATATTTGATTTCATTTTATCATGAAGATAAAGGGAAAAAGAAAGGACTTGATTTTATGGTCTGTTTTGGATAGCATTCATCTTTCATTTTAGTAAGGAAGACAGTGGTTTTAGGGGATAAACAACTATTTTGAAAAAGACTTTTTAAGAATAGAAAGTATAGGCTGCGATATCTTGCTGAAACTAAAAGCACTGCACCTTGCTGAACCTAAAAGCACTGTCAAATTATATTGCTTTGTATTCTCAAACAAGTCTTTCAACTGCCATTTACTTTCTTTTGCATAAGGCTCAAACTACACTGGATCTACTGGAGCGATTGCAGGTTCACATGAACATTATCGGGACCTAAGAGAAAAAAAATCAAAAAGGTGAAACAATAACCTTATTAATATATTATTGAATAATATCCCTGTGTTTTTAAATTGTTGTTGGTAACTCTCAGTTGAAATTATCCAAGGGGCCGCAGGAATTTTTGGAACTCCCCTTCCACTTCTGATTTCCTCCACAGCCCCTGCAGAAATATCTGCAGCCTTTACTATTCAGCCATGGAGAAAATAAAAAGGGCAAGGGTCTGGGGTGTGGCATGGATTGATCAGGAGAAGCTTTGGCTCTGTAGGAAGAAACCCTTTCTGAACCCAGAAGACCCAAATGCCTTTAAGTTGGTGGGGAACGTTCCCTGCCTGGGCAGCATCATGATGACCTATGCCAAGAGGGACACGGCATAGTGTGACCCTGTTGATACTCCTGGGACTCTCAGCACCATTAACTGTGGTATCATACTGAGATGACTAAGTTGGGAGTGGGGATAGCATTTCCACTCCTATCTGGAGGGTGTTTCAGAGGGTATTACTTGGGGAATATTGTTTAGCCCCATGGACTCTCCAGTATGGATTGCTTTCAGTTCATCTTGTACCCCATGTTATTCAACATCTACATGATATTGCTGAGTGCAGTCATCTGGAGTTTTGGAGTGCATTGTCCTTAGTATGCTGATGGCATGCCACTCTATTTCTTCTTTTCATCTTCTGCAGGTGAGGCTGTGGATGTGCTAATCCAGTGCCTGCCTGTAACAATGGACTGGATGGGGGCTAACGCACAGAAGCACAATACTGACAGGATGAAGGGCATTCAACTGGTTCTGGATTGGGTTGTACTCCCCTTGAATGAGGGAAGTTCATAGCCTGGTGGTGCTCCTTGAGCCATCTTTGTCACTTGAGGCCCAGGTGGCCTCAGTGGCTTGGAGGCCTTCAGCTGGTAGCCCAGCTACACCCCTATCTGGACAAGGATAGACTGGCTTCAGTAATTTATGCTCTGCTAATCTCTAAGCTAAATTACTGCAATGTATTCAATGTGGGGCTGCCCTTGTGAAAACAATTCAGAAGCTGTAGCTTATGCAAAATGCAGCAGCTCAGCCTAATAATTGGGACCTGACAGTCTTAACATATAACATCAGTTCTGGTTCGCCTACCTATATGCTTCTGAGTCTGATTCAGAATGCTGGTTTTTACCTATAAAACCGTACATGGCTGGAGACCACAGTTAAAATTTGGTTTTAAAGGGGGTTCGTGAGGTTTTTATATTGTATTTTATTGTGTTAATTAACTGTTGTATGTGTCCTGGAGAACTTCATCCACTGAATGCTATAGAATTGAAATGAATGCTCCCAGTCACCAGATAACACATTTTTTAGTTGGTGTGAATAATTTCCATTCCACAGATTAGAATGGGAAGGAAATAGTTTTCTAACCCCAGTACCTTGGAAGCTCTGGCATTGTGAGTTCCATTGTGCCCTTCCCAGCTCTCCTTGGTCTATACATAAATATAGTGGCGTATTGTATAAAAGCTCATAAACGAGTTTGCCAGATATTATGCCATTATTGTTCTATTAAAGTTAGAGGCTTAATTTAGGAGCATGGCAGTGGAGTCACCACTTCCTATAAAACGTGCTGTCATTTGTGGCATGTTCCACCCCATATTAACTATCCAAGGCAAGCACAATGGGTGCCACCTCAAGTGTGAACCAACTCTATAATGCAGTATTGTAGAACCTGAAAATAATGGTCCAGGCACAGGTCAATCCTAATTATGCTTTCTGAGAAATAAGCCCCCTTGATCATTATGGGACTTAAAAGTAATTGGTATGTGTTTGATTACTGAACAAGCCTAACAAACATGCAGACAATCTGTGTGCAGCACTGTAATGTATTTTGATAATGTTGTATGATCTTTCTCTTTGCAGTCAAGATACAGATTTACCTGGTGCACCAGAAAACTTGACTTTCCGAGAACGACAGAGACTCTTTTCGCAGGGCCAAGATGTGTCCAATAAAGTAAAGGCATCTAGAAAATTAATGGAATTGGAAAATGAACTAAATACAAAATAGAAAAAATGCACCTTATCAAAAGTAATTGGAAGGATCTGTTTGGGACTAGGGAAGTGGCTGATCAAAAAGAGAGGACTGTCTTCTGAGATATGAGATAGAATTCTCTATCTGGACTGTTTGACTTTTAGATATGTTGCAATAGCAGGAAAACCAATTCTTTACCAAGAGCTTTTGGTTTATACAATTAAAGCACTGTAAAATATATTTTAATTATATGAATCAAGTGTCATTAAGTCCTTTCTCCACACCCTTTCCCTTGTTTTGCGGTTTAACTACTTCTGCAATTGTCCTGGATCACACTTATTGAAGAATTGTTGCTTCCTGGTCTCTTAAAGAAACCCTTTGTTAGCTGCTAAGTGGAAAGAGTGCTTATAGCTTGAACTGCCTAAACTAATCTCTGCACCAGTTTGTTGCACTGTAGGTTGTTTGAGTCAAAGTCTAATTTGATACAAACTGAAGACACACTGAGAATTATTTATCAGATTTCTAGAATGTCACTGAAAGTGAGAGTTGGAGGTGGTGGATTTCCTTGGGAAAGGCAGTTTAAAAAAATGAATTTTCTGAAACTAAAATAGCTACATTAGAGCATTTATCCACAAAGTCCTTTAGATGTGAAATACTTGACTTTTCTTGGTGGCAGTCCAGTAATGTAACAAAACATGCACTCTGGTTTATCCAGCTGTTCTCTCTTCATCTCTACACTGAACTGTAAACATCTTGTGTTTTGGCATTTTTATGAGAACAGAAGAAGAAACTGGTAAAACATGGACAGATACATGAGTAGGGTGTTGTGTGTGCTGACTACGACCATATTTTAAAACTATTTAGAAAATCCAGACATAAGCAATAGGGAATAAGCTCCTTCTAGTAGCCTCTTGTAGCCAAGACCAAACCAAAGTTTAATATTCACAAACACAATAGAAGATATCTGTTACCAATAACTAGCATATTAAGCACTACTTGCAAGGGGAATGTGGTTGCTATGGCTGCAATGAAAACTAAGTATTGCCTGCCAATAAGAATTTCACAGAGGCCTGACGGTGCTATGACAGCATATCACTAGTCCTTTGTGTTGAGAAGTACTGATCAGGCTGCTTCTGGTTTACTGTTGTCCTCTGCATACTGTAGAAAATGTTGGCAGTTCAAGCTATTTTTCACACTATATTGCAGCGTTATTTAATTTTTAAATGGTTAAAATCCTTTTCTCCCACTGTTCCTTCAGCTATGCATATATGGCTGTTGTTGAGAATAAGGACCTCATTAGAGTTTGTTTCTCATTGTGTTGATGTTTAAAACAATATATTATATTGTGATTCTAAGCAGATTTTCTATTTCATGAAGCCCTAAATTGGGTTTAGATGATTTTTTCTGTAAAATATGTTCTCTTATAAATATATATTTAGGAAATTATGCACACTTCCAAATGCAGAGGGTAGACTTTCACTGCCTTAGAAATCACTTTTAATAAGAGTTGTATGATAAAAAATAAATGCAAGTTAATGATATTAAAATTGGAGTGTAAATATTTTTTTTACATATTTCAGGTTTCTTATTTGAAAGTGTGCTTTTACCGTTCACCTGTTAAATATGAAGTAGAAGATTAAATTGGTTAAAAGTGTTAATGAAGGATTTGCATGCTTGCTATGTCTGTTAATCAGGAAAGGCAAGCCTTCCCCAATTTATCTTGAAAACACTAGATACTCTGTGGCTGGAATACTGTTGCTGCTAGGGCCTAAAGCAAAGAAATATAACTTACTGTGGAGAGGATTTGACTGCTATTGGGCATTCGGGCCACATGTGAAGATGAGTAAAAGTGCTTTTCATAATGGTCTGTGCATTATTATGGAAAAAACCATCAAAACTGCTGTAGTTTCCCATTTCTACTGTATTTCACTTGCAACCTATTTTTAATAAACTTTGTATTGTATTTAACTTTGCACTGTATAATGTCTGTATGAAGAGTATTTGTTCAAACTGCACACACATTTTCTATGCCTTTATCAGTTTCTTTTGTTATAAATTTACCTTGAATAAAATCAGAGAAGATTCTGTCCTTAATGTTGAATGCAATTTAAACTGTTGGTAGTGCTATAGGTAACTGCCTGTTTAGTAAAACTGTCACTAAAGAACTTGTAAATTATCTAAATATTGATATACATAATGCCTGTTAGAAATTCAGATATTTCTTATCTACAGCATATTTTATTCTAGATTGGCTGTAAATCAAGGCCCAACTATGGCCCTAGTATGAAAATAAAGATATTTAGTTGCACTAAAGCCCTACTGAAATTAATAGAACATGTTATTAATATTTAACTAATTGGTCCTATTGATTTCAATGCAGTTTGAGTATAATTATTATCTCTATCTGGAAGCCACAATCTTCTATTTATTCTGCAAAAACACATTAGGTTCTCTTTCCTTCCTCTCTGTAAAAGTGTCTAACTCTGAAAATCTTCCTGTATTGGTATTTAAATCAGAACTTAAACTGAGAAGTTAAACAAGGAGAAATCAGTGCAAGAAAGCAATGCAAGTGATTCATGTTTAGTAACTGCCGTTTTTATACAAATGTAAATTAGCATCTAAAGGCATGTCCCTATTGGATTGCCAACCTCTAGAAAGAAGCCTCTAATCTCAGAGTATTCTCTGAGGAAAGACTGCCTTAGGTGATTCTTACCTTGGTTCTCTATCCCTCCCCCCCTTTTTTCTTCTCAAGGCAAGCCTCTAAGCCTACCTTCAGTAGTTCTGCTGCTGGAGAGCCCATAGGGTTCTGTGCATTTAATCATCTCCACACCACCCTCTTTTTGACAACTCATAGATCATCCAAGGCCACTTTTGTGACCTCAGAAAGCAGGTGTCATGATTCTTTTGAGGGGAGCTTGCAAGGGGGTAGAGTGGGGGAGCAATTGGATTTTGGCAGATCCCCTGCTGAAATCATAGCAGTGTCGTCTTTAGTTACTGAATTTCTATTTTAGTCCAAGCCAAAGACTTCAGTAGGCGAAATCTGAACATTCCTGAGGCCCTGTGGATGCAGCTTTAGGACAGGAAATATACTAGCTAAATGTACATTTTGGAATGAATATTTCAAGAAGTACTATGTAGCAGAGCTTGTTGCTGGCCTTCTGACTAATGTAGCTGGCATCAGCATTCCGATTCATGAACATTCCTGGTGCTCATTAACAGCACTTAGGAATGCGTCCAGCTTGTTAGAAAGAAGGGACAACTAGATTACTCTTCACCATGCAACTGTAAAATTGCCCAAGTTCCATTTTCCCAAGTGCCTAATCCTGTGTTCTTAGCTGGAAAGAAAGGTTTTGAAAGTCATGCTTAGAAGCCAGGTCTTCCATCCAGCTGTACAAATGTACTCCAAAGAGCCTGTGAAATGTCCAGAATGCTTATTGCTTTTTGGATCACAGCCCTCTGAGCAGAGCCTGTGGCATACTCCTTCCTCTCCTGTTAGTGTGGAGTAGCCAGAGCTCAGTGGGACAGTGCATATTTTACATGCAGAAGATCCCAGATTCAATCGTCATATCTGGGTAGGGCTAGCAAAGAATCCTACCAAAGCTTGGGTAGCCATAACCAGCCAGTGGTGTGACTCAATTTAAGGCAGCTTCCTATGTTCCTAAATTTTGGCAGTAGGCTTTTCGGAAAACCTTGTGCTGCCTGGTACAAGAGGGCTGAAGTAAGGCATGTTTCCCCAACTAAGACAGTGTAATCTTGATAAGACATGCAATAAGACAGCATAATCAGTGGGGCTGCAATGCAATGCTCGGGGAGGCTTCCCACAGGCTGGGTATTCCTTGCTAGAGCCTCAAAACTACCTGTCGGCAAGTATAGATTGTAGATCAAACTTACCTCCAGAAAACTGCCTTACACTGAGTTAGATGGTTCATTTCATGAAGCCCACTGCTGCCTTCAGAATTTCAGGCATGGGCTTTTCCACTGCTAATTAGAGGACCCAGATATGGAATGTGGCATTGTCTGCATGTGATACATGTGCTCTGCCACCAAGTTACAGCCCATCCCTAGCAGGTAAGGCATAGTCATATGGGTTGGGAAGAGACATGTCACCCCATCTCCCATACACACACATCAATTTCATGCCAGGTGTGACTTTAGCAGGTCAAAGAAGTACACAGATATTTAAGTTTTTCTTTTTTAAATTCTGCAACCCTCTACTTCCAACAGCTGCTATTCTTCCCTTTATTCTAGGCTGTAATACCCAAAGGTATGAAGGAAACAAAATATGGGGCAGAAAAATGACAGAGTACATTGATGTTCTGGGGGATTAAAAGATGACAGACGGGATGTGGCCACCCCTACTGCCAAAGAATTATCAGTCAATATTATGCAGTCATAGAACTGACAAACCAAAGAATTATGGTACAAGTGGAACTCATGACTCACTTAGGATGCATTCCTTCTGCATTTTATTTATTTTTATTATTTCCATTTATATGCTGCTACATTAGTCCAAATGTGGGCTCTCTGAGTGGCTTACAAAACATGATATTTTTTAAATCTATAACAATAGAACATTAGTTATATAACAATACAACATTAAAATCCAAACATAGGAAACAAAATACAACAAAACCATTGCACAGAAACTTTTAAATAAACAATTTACGAGAACTATAGGACAGGAATCAGGTTGAAATCAGAATTTGCCACTAAAATTTTACCACTCTCAGATATTTTTGCACCATATTCAGCTCACCCTCCCCATATGGGTGGCTGAATGGAGTATTTGAAAAACTGCTGAGTGGCCTCTATTTAAATATCCTCTGCTTTAAATAGTTGTCCAGTCTAATGAGAGGCCATTGAAGCCCCATCGGTGAGGGTGTTCAAAGATAGGCTGGACATGCACATGGTGGGCATGTCATGAGCGGAGCCGGCTGGAGCCAGGGGTCAGACTCGATGGCCCAGGAAACCCCTTCTGGCTCACTCTGTTTCTATGTTTCTATGTTGTCCAGTCTAACTCCAGTCCAACAACCAACAGAAAGGAAAGTGCATTTGCCCATCAACCACTGGCACCAGGTCAGTCTGCTCCACCATGCTGAAATGCATTATATTCCTAATTAAGTTATAGAAGTTATTTCACAATTTTCACTGATACAAATTGGCATATGGAAATGCGATGCACATTTGTGTCATCTTTTTTTGGTGAGGCTTAAGTGGCCACCCTATCTTAACTGTGAAGAGTGCTGTAGATCAGTGTAGTGTAGTGGTTAAGGGTGCTGGACTTAGATCCAGGAAACTGGGGTTCAATCCCTACTCAGCCATAAAGCCCAACTGTGTGACTTTGGACCAGACACATACTTTCAGTCTAAACTATGTCCCAGGCTTGCTGGGAGAACAAAATTGAGAGGATGGGGATCATGTAAGCCCCTTGGATTCCTTGGAAGAGAAAGAAAGGCAGGCTATAATTGTAATAATAATATTACACAGGTTGCAATCCTGTGTAACTTCTCTGAGAGAACGTATTTCAAAGTAAACATACGGGATTCTTGTTAGAGAATCTGAGTTACAGGGCTGTTTAAAAGTATAAGAAGTCACACAGCGCACCGCGTTGAGGTTTGGGCAGGAGGCTCCGAAGGGAGAGCAGTTCCACTGAAAGCACCACGGGGAGCGGGAGCCCTCGATTAATGCTCACACCACCGACCTCCATTTCCATGCGCCAAGGCGAGGGTCTCGAATGATCAGAGAAGCTTCCTGAACCTTCCACTGTTGCAGTTTTGGGTTCCTTCCAATCGAAGCATGTGTCATTTTTTCGGCGCCAGGTTAAGACAGCCCTCTTTGTGGAAGCCTTTAATGATCTCCGTGGCCATCCAGGAGCCTGGTGGGTTTATCCAGGTGCCTTTTTTCCTTTCTTCTTGGCCTTTTAACATTTTATTGTATTTTAATGCAATTTTAATTAATTTTAAATGTTTAAAATGTTGTTTTATGAACTGTATTTTATTGTTTTTATATGCTGCTGTGATTCGCCGAGAAAGCTTCGGTTACAGGCGGTATAGAAATGTAGTAAATCGTCGTTGTTTAGACAGAAAAAAGTCCTACAATTCCCAGCATTCCCCAGAAAGCTTCTCTCTTATTCATATTCTCTCCCTCCTCTCAACGCGCATGGTATTGCATCCAACACTACAAGTTGCCCCCGCCACTCAGTTTCGAAGTCCAGCCAATCACAAAGCTCAGAATGTAGGGCGGGGAGAGAATTACCATAGCGACCACAGGGAAGCTAATCCCTTGCCGCCGATTGGCTGATTCAAACGGCGCTCCCCGGAGCTATGAGTGAGCGCAATAGCGGGGCATCCCGGCTTTTCCCAGGACTTTCAAGCTTCGCGATGCGGCCTGGCAGCCTGAGTTTTGTGTCCGAGCAACGGATTCGGCAGCTGGAACAGAAGCTGCGAGTGAGTCTCCCCCGCCTTTAGGAACGGGCAGTGGGGTGGGTTTGTCAAGAGCAAAAGGGCTGTGCTATGGGATGGGTCTGATCTCCCCCTAATTCCTTGGCGGATCGGGGATTCTGCCTTAACTCAGAAGGAAGTGAGCGCACTCTGATGATGTCATTGCTGTAAAGCGGCTACGTGCTGGCTGGCTGGCTAATGACGTCATTCGCCCCTTCCGTTGCATGGACCTAATTGTTTGGTTTTGTTGGAGGGATAAGGCCTGTGTCGATCCTGTTTCTTAACAACTTGGAGAGGAAATCAGCTGTTGTTTCAAAAAGTGACAAATACCTGACTTGCTACTATTATTTAGCCCAACTACCTCAATCCCTTTCCTTCTTACTTTCTAAAGTAGAGGATGAAGAAGATGGTTTGCTCCTGGCTTCCTTCTACTCATTTGAGGAAATTGAATGCATGCTGATTTTGCATTGGCAGAAATGAGTTCAGGGTCCTATTGAAGCTCATAGCACTGAGGATGACAATATCTTGCCAGAGGCTTTGATGAGTCCTGTCTGATTTGCTGTAGTATAGACAAGTGGGAGCCTCGTCCAGAATATTCCATTTCTCCCTTGCCCAAAGACATTCAGTGTTCTGCATCCACTGGGCGTGCTCAGCCTTCACTGAGCTATTTTGGAGGTTTTACCCTGTTACATTTCCACATCGAATTACATATTTGTACCTCAGCTAGCATTTTGTTTTTCCTCACTTGCGGAGACTTTCCTTTGTTTCTCAGTTTTGGCAACTGTCTACTCAGCAGCCAGCAGCTGAGTTCAGTATTAGAAGGATGGTCCCATCAAGATGTTGGTTTGAGTAGTGTTTCAAACAATAACTGTAATACTATTCACAGAATAGTTTCATCTCTTGTTGGCATCACTCTCCACGTGTTGACCTGATGAAAGTTTGTGTATGTAAACAGTATGTACATCAATATGTGATCCCTATCCTGGCTTGATTTAGTCCTTCAGATCAACATGTGAAAGTCGGGAAGCTAGTCCAGCAAATGTTATCCTTTTGTCTGGTCCACAAGCTGAATGTGTGCAGCATTACTGTAAGAAAAGGACCCATGAAAAACTGCAGGCCTGCAGCAGCATGAGTGCTTCCAGAGGCAGGTGCATATTTCAGTGTGGACACCTATTGGATTATGACCATAATCAGGGTCATACTTGACTGTATGTTTGGAGCTGTTTACTTTTAAATATATAGATGAGATAGACACAGAGGCAGATGTTCAGCATTCAGGAGCAGAGTGATTATTTTCTGTTAAGAAAAGAATTGAATAGGTCAGAATCTGCAGACAATTTTTTCCCTGTCACTTTTGCATCTTTTTGGAATGCTATGCACTAGTATTTTGTGGAATATGCAGTTAAGTGAAGACAAATAACACTCTTTCACATCTGTTCACATCTCCATTATGTTTGTACATTTATGAGTTTCCAAAAACAGAGCAGGAATCATATTACTGAAAAAGAAGAAAAGCTACAAAGACTGAGATGAGATGTTGGCGACTTAACAGGGAAAATTTTTATAAAGTATTGTGATAGAAAAATGTATTTTTATTAGACATGATGTGAATCAAGAAGTCACTGTAATCTGATTTTCTGTAACATTGTTTCTATACAATGTATGTTGATTTTTTTTCAACTATAAATAGAATGAAGTTTTAAATTATGTAGCAAGCAGCTTGTTTTTGTTGTATGAAACATTGGGGCTGCCCCTACCTAGTTGGGATGGCTAGAGGACCCTGAAAGACCTTAGTTTCTACAAGGAATGCTTGCTACTTGCCTCATGAGGAATATAATGTGCAACCTAGCTCTTAGCAGAAGTGATGGGCATGTTGTAGGACCAGAGGAGTTGCTACAGATTTATCTTGCATAATTTTCATCTCTCCAGTTAAGTTTAGACTTCTCTGTATAATGTTTTCCCAGGCTAAAGAAGAAAGAATTATTGTGCTGGAAACAGAAAATGCCCTTCTGCACCTCAAGCTTGCAGAGGTAATGTAATACTGATGGTCTTCACTTTACAGTTCCATTTATCACATTTATCCCCAAATCTTCAGTTTAAATTCTTAATTGAATACAACCAATACAAGTAAACACTTTGCTCCAGAAAGCCTGTTTCTTTCTGCAGATTTCCTTCTATGTATGACTCCCTCATCCAGAGGTTTGTGCTTGCCAAAAGAGAGTTTTTTAAACAAGTTGGATCACAAGCACCCATGAGATCTGTGTAACTGGTGTAACTTTGGTCTGCACAGCTCAGCTTGAATGCAGATAGATCTTCTCATCCATCTTCTCTAGGGCATTGCATGCATATTCCCATCTGCTATCTGGGGTCACTCTGCATATTATTACCATGTGTAATGCCATTAAGCATAAGCAGATTTGAAGCCATCTGTCATCCTACCTTTTTTGACTGAACCATTAATTAGTGCAATTAGCTCCTGACCCAGCTTTTCCTGACCGGTTTTTACCAGCCAAGATAAATGTAGCCTAATGCATAGGTAGTCTCCCCCATTATTCTGAGTATGCTTTATTAGATTGAACCAAACCAAATAAATGAGATGAAGCACAATCTCCAGTGCCATGCATATTCAATATATAGTACATAAACTCTTCTGTTTGAACATCCTCAGAGCAAGGCAATAGATGTTATTCATCATACTTAGCCTTTTGTAGCAGGCATTTGTTGTATTTTCATTGTTCAAGTGCTGATACCTAATGCACTTAGGGAGTTTTTGCCCAAAAGAAAATTCAAGAATATTTCTCCTCCAGCGTTCATATATAAATAGAACATATGCCCGACCGCCCCTTGAGATCTGCGGGAGAGGCCCTTCTCCGGGAACCCTCCGTGAAAGAAATTAGGAGGGTATGTACTCGGAGGAGGGCTTTCTCTGCGGTGGCGCCCAATCTATGGAATGTGCTCCCCAGAGAGGTCCGCCTGGCGCCGTTGTTATTTGTTTTTCGGCGCCAGGTGAAGACCTTTTTATTTAAACGTCATTTTCATTGTTAACAATATTTACTTATTTATCCGGCCAGGGCGACTTCTTTTCTCTTCTCTTCTTTTCTTTTATAACTTTTCTTTTATAACTTCTTTTATTTCGTTTATATTTTTTATTTATTTTATATTATTAATTTTAATTTTATATTGTTATTTTTATATTGTATTGTATTTTATTATGTTGTAAGCCGGCCCGAGGCTTCGGCAAGGGGTGGCATAGAAATGTTATAATAATAATAATAATAATAATAATAATAATAGTACCATATAGCACAGCACTTCCCAGCTTTGTACATTCCGGATGCATTGGGCTGCAACTTCCAGAATCCATTGTCCATGCTGACTGATCATTACGTCAGGCTAAAATAGCATGAACCTGGAAAGAACTGTGGTGTCCAGATCAGGGCTGCATCTAATACAGTATCCTGTTTTCAGCCAGCTTCTTTTAGGAAGCTCTCTGAGCAGATCATGAAGGGCAATAGCCTCCCATCAAGATCTGTCCTCTAGCAACTTACAGTCAGAGTTACATTACATCTGAGTAGCTAAGGATAGACCTACCTATGCATTTGCCTTTTTAAAGCCATCACTGCATTTTCTGGGAGAGCTGCATAATAATACATTAAGCATTGTGTGAAGAAGTACTCTTGTTTTGGCACTGCTTGATATCTTGCTAATTAATGTTATTGGGTGAATTCTGAAAAGGGAGGACATTATCCTCTTTCTACTTTTTCATATATTAAAAAGTTTCATAAGTTTCTGTTATGCCTTTCTTTAATTGTCTTTTTTCCCCTAAGAGGATTGTGGTAGCAGGAGAGCTCCAAAAGAAATGATAATCAAACCCTTTGCCTAGTCTGAGCATAGGTTATGGCTTTAGTTGTCATCTTCTGCATTATTTCCAGCTCTGTGGAATACTTTTTTTGAGATGGAACAAAATGAACAATGCACAGTATTTCAAATCTGGCTCCACTCTGGATTTTATTTTAAAGCTGCAATGATACTGATTGTTTTATGTTAAGTCTTTTTCTAATCATCTCTAGTATAGACTTTTCCCTTTTCACAGCTACTGTTGTGAGTTGAAATCTAGAGAAAGCTTTATTGTGTTTTTAAGACTTTTCTTGGCAATGTATTCTTGCCAATGAGCATCTTTTTTTCCTCTCTTTTGGGCAAGATTTCAACTCTTTAAAAGTAAGGCCATTTTTACTTTCTAGAGCTTTCTTGACTCTGCTCATTAACTATATTGGCATTGTTTGTATATTTCCAAATATCTGCTATTTATTAGAACATGTATTGTAGAGATTTTGGAACAACTAGAAATTATTTGGAGACGGAATTCCAGTAATTGCAGCTATGTCAGTGCAAATACAACTGAACAGTTGAAATCACCAGAGCTGCATGGGAAGCTGCTAATGCAAAGAGCCTTTCGCATGCTGCTTTCATATGCAGCTTCCATGGGTTGCCAGTGCTTGCAGGAATAAATAAAGCTGTCTGAACCAGGATTTGAAACTAGTGACAGGCCAGTGCTTTTGGGGATGATCTGCATGTTACAGATCTTTCAAGTACTTGTTTCTGTCTCAAGATGTATGAGGCAAGTCACATGTGTGTATCCAGCTGTGAAAAACATAAATCATTTTCAAAACATGGTTTAAGAAACTGGAGCCTGCCATGACTCCCTGCAGCAAGTTTGGTTAGTGGTGGCACAATTCAATAATTGTGTATGTATATCTTCCTCCCATTATGCAAAGTAGAATTTAAGTATCCATCATGATTGTAATGTATGAAGTGCGTCACTTTCTTTTGTCTCATCCATTTTTCTTTGTTGCTGCAGCTGTTAATTAAAAAAAAAAAGCAGTTGCATGAGTGCTGGGGGAATTATATATGGCGAAGTGTGCCTGCTTCCTTATAGGTACCTTGTTTAAGAAAATCCATTCTTATTAGTTGGAGGCAATAAACAAAGCTGATATCTTTACAGAGAACATTTGCCTCTTTATTGCTGACTTCCTAGAGATTTTGAGAACAGCTGGATGGCTGGGCCAGCAGACAGTTGCTGTTAGTAATAATAGCAACTGTCAGCTGAGAGGGTCTAATCTAACTTGAGACTTTAAATGGCTGTGTGACCTCAGGGTAGTCTCTTGCCCTTATGGAGTCTTGATTAACCCTTTAAGGATAAAAACTGGAATCAACTGAAACAAAATAACACTAGGTTGAAAACCTGATGTTGTCTTGGGCTCAACTTCCTTTGGAGCACCTACAAAAACACAGCACCTGAATTGAGTGCAATTTTATGCCTCCTGTGCATGTTTTCCGCATGGCTCTCTTCAGCAACCTGGTTATCAGCCTTTAATCCAGGCATGTGCAACCTGTGATAGTTTCTGGCATGGGTAGGTGGTTGCTCAATAGATCACAGCGGGAAAGAACTGACAGAAGCATTTATCAGCATGAAGAGATGCCCACTCCACTATGTCAAAAGTGCAGCAGTTGGTCTGTATAAAATGATAAGGCTCAAAACATTTTGCTGCCTGAGCAATCAGTGCCCCCCAACCCTGGTTAAGGTGTAGTCTACATAAAGCTGGCAATTTGATGCAGAAAATCTCATAAGTGCTTTCCTCCCTCTCTCGCAGCAAAAGAAAAGTATGTGTATGTTGCCGACTCCACTTCCCAGCTTCCTTTGACAGCTGAAACATAAAAGCAAATTGACTAGACAAGACTACACTTATCCGACAGCCCTGAGAGTGCACGTCTGACAATAAATTACAAACATGGTTATGCAATTCTTAGACTCCCCAGAAGAGTACAGACCCAACTGTTTTTGGGAAAAAAAGATACAAAAATGTGACACTTAACAAAAAGGGCCAGCAGTCAGAGTGGGGAGTGGGAGAGGAGACTGATTCTGCTCTGAAGGACTCTGGGATACCTGCAGGAGAAGAAACAGCTGCAGTGAACCCAAGCATATAGTTTACATACAGCCCCCACTGCAGTGCTCAGTTAAACGTTAGACCCGTTTTTGGTGTCTACCCACTCTAAATATCACACTTAGTGCTGCTTAATACCACTCTCTGTAGCTGTCTTGGTTTACTCACATTGGGAATACATTTACAATAATACCTTGTTTTATATAAAATACACAAAGTCCCTAAAATGTGGCATTCAAATATAGCCAAGGGTAACTTGACATGATTTTTAAAAAATTAGCAAGATTGTTGCAGGGGTGTGGGCAGGTGGGTAGGAACAAACAGATCTGCTATACATCAGTGCCTAAATCTTCATTTCAGTACAACACATGCACCCCCTTTGCCTGATTTCTTTAAGATATCTCCCACACCCTGCCGGAAAGACTCAAGAGAGCTGGCTCAGGCAGTGGAAAAGACCAGGAGGAAGGGCAGACACAACGCTGAGCTTCCTGCTAGGGGATGGTTGCTGAGACCACCCCACTTGTCTCCTCTCCCTGCCAAATTCCTGATCCCCATAACAGCGCTCTGATTTGGTTTCACGGGGAGACTTTCGTCAGATGCTGCAATTCACACGCAGAAGCAAGTTGCATTCAACTCTGGAGCTTGCTTCTGGATAGGCATGTTTAGGGATGCACTGCAAAGCCTCTGGATTTAAGTGACGTCTGACTGCCACTGCTTCACTGCAGGCTCCACACGGCAGCAAGGCATCCAGCGAGTAAGAGAAGCATTACAAAACAGCAGCCCACAACCAATCTTTCCACCAAAACTGTTTCTATCCAGATGTGTATGGCTGGCTTCTATGGTAGCTCATAAACATCATAAGATGGAGCCAGTAGATGTTCCCCAGCACCTGATAGTCAAAGATGCTACTCTGGAAATGACAGTTGCATTTAGGAGTCATGGAAATTAACCATTGTATGAACTAGGTGTCCTTGGGTTTTTCCTTGTATTTAGTGCTCTAAACCAATGGGCTCCCCACCCCAAATCTTTTAATACCATTACTGTCTCTTATAATGAATTACCCTAAGTGAGTGAGGTTCAGGATTTCTAGTTGAGGGAGGGTGTAGCCAGGCCTTCCCTAGGTAGCCAACAACAAAACAGCCAATGACAAAGCGAAGCCCTTTGCTTGGTCCTGGGCTGCAGTCCACAGACCTCTTCAGAAAGGAAGCACGAGTGCCAGATCCTTTAGTCCTGTCAGCTGAAGGGTTATGTTGTGAGACGCAGCAGAGATATGCTATAGCCGTGATACAAACCTGCACACCCTCAGTCTTCTTGCTTGGAATTTCCAAAAAAAACCCAGGGTGGAAGCACAGTATTGATGGAGATAATTTGGGCAGTGTACAGGAGTGTGTACATATTGATGAAAGTGTCCCCAGGGGGGAAATTGTATGAACTGGGTATTTAAAAGATCAAGAGAGTCTTTATACATCAGAAAATAAATCTTGTATGAGACTGTAGTAAGCTTCAGTCACTATGTAACAATTGCCTTTTTCTGAAATGCAGCAATATCTGCCCTTCAAATAGTTTCCCAAGAGGTACATAAAGAGAGTTTTAGCTGCATTTTTCCAGCTGTTGTATTAAACTATAAGGATCTAAGTTTTCAGATGAAACCCTTAATAACCAGAGTGAATTGAATCAAACCAGCCACTGCTTTGATTTATTTCAGCTCTCATTTTTTGGTAATTTGGAGCCAAAGATTAAATTACAGCAGACGCTTGGTAGGTGGCAAGAAAATCAGGGTTAAATGAATTCCTCTTCACTCAAAACTGATTTTCATTTCCCTCTTTGTATAAATAGAAATAGGATTTTGGAATTTTTTTTTTACTCAAGAAGCCAAATTTTAATCAATCTATTATGTCTGCAGCTATAACCTCCCATTCATTCAAATGCACAACTTTACTGCAAAATATTAGCTGGGATGCCAAGATGTACTTTAGATCCAGTTCAGCCAATCATTTATACCATGGTTTAGTTGATTGGGAATGTGTGATAGCTTGTACCCTCCCATCCTCTCCTTTGCATATAAGAAGAGGGAATGAAAGTTTCAGCCTTTAGTTTTTACTAAAGTACAGTTTTAGCTTACATAGAAACATGAGTTTATTCTAATTCTGGTTGTTTAAAACAAACCATGGTTTGATTTCCTAGTATGTCAACTGGGTAATTTAAAAATGCTCACATTTTTAAAGCACTATATGACCCATGCCTTTCCTGAAAGGAAATTTGAGAGAAGGGAAACATGGCCAGAGATGCTGCTTTGAAGTACCTTGAGTGCCTTGAAGGGGCAAACCTGATATAACAAGTGATCTGGTGCAAAACAGCTCTAGCTAAAATCTCTATTTTTTAGCTCTGTGGAATAAGGAAGACAAGGAAACTGCTCTTTAGTAGCTTTGACAAATAATGTTTTATTTTTTGAAATATGCCTTTGAGAACTGAATATCCATGTCTCAGTTCCTTAATGTGAAAACTATCTTGATGGGTATTGTTTGGGTTTATTTACCTATTCAGACATATGATCTGGTGGCACTGAAAGACAGTACATGATAAACTTATGTCAAGTGGGATTATTTAGCATAAATTCTAAAAGAACCTGTGAATGAAAAATCTCTCACTGCAGCTGGGGAATCTAGATGGGTAGAGTCTTGTAGAAGAGCTCATGGCCTTGCATTAAAGAATCATAGGTTTTGTGGGAATTTGATGAAATCACATTTTATCTATCACTTCCAGCATAGCACTTATTGTTTGCAAAAAGGTATGCAATCTTTATGGTGTTTTCACATAGTAACACTACAAGGAGGGTTGCTGTAGCTTTTACAGGGCTGAGAGGCTGACTTTTCGAAACAACCCACAGGTTTTGCTGACGGCTTTATCGGAGAATCTGAATTAAATACCATTGTTCCATTTTTCATTCATGAAGTAGGATATAAAGACAATTAAAGAAACTATTTCTGTGGTTTCTTGTGTCAACAGTTTCCTTCATCAGGCAAGTCTAGTATTGGGATAAATGTACAACACGTTGTTGAAGGCTATAACACTTCACTTTCTGAATTTTTGCTATTTATACCGCTGGGCTTTGTGGAAACCTCTGATGTTGTAATGACTTGTTTTTGTGGTAAGAGGGCTTGTTTTTCTTTTTTCTGAAAAAACAGTGTCAAGGAGCGATTTGGAATATCTCAACTAAGGAGGCAGATGACAGTTTCACTTACTGCAAGCAACAAAGAGTCCATAGTCTTGCCAGATCCACTGTGATTCAGCTTTATGGAGCCATACAGGTAAAGAGGCTGACCACACTTCAAAGGATTTTATATGGAATATTGCTGGGTTATTTGAGGGTTGCTGTCCTACCTCCAAGCAAGCCATGCTGCCCAGTTCAGATTACATGGCAAGCTGCACCAGTGAAGGAAATTAGGGAAACTTGGCTGGCATGTGTCCTGGGGGCTCCTCCAATCCCCATAGCTGAGTTCCCCTGTTGTGACCATGCAAGTGGCTGGTCATCTGTGAAACACCTGGAAGAACACTGGGTTACAATGGTAATAACTATAAGATAAATTCACACAACATTATTATTTTTACATTTATGTCCTGCTTTTTTCCTGCAAGGAACCTAAGGAGGCTTACATGCTTCTATTTCCTCCCTATTTGATCCTCACAACAACCCTGTGAGGAAGTTTAGACTGAGAGTCAATGACTGGCCTGAAGTCACCCAGTGTAAACTAGAAACTGGATCTCCTGTTCCAGTCTGGCACCGCAACCACTACCCCACGTTTGTCCTGAAGTTCAAGGAGAAATTGCCATGCAGTTCAAATGGATATCCCACCCATATAATTTCTGGTAATTCTACTGCAGAATCATTCTGTGAATCAAAAAAATATATCTGCTCTATAGATCCTTAGCCTGCTTAAGTTCCCTTACATCTTTGAGGAGTTAACTCTGTGTAGAACTTTAACCTCAAACTGTATACCTGTGCTGTCTGGTATATAGATGCTAATAGCTTAGAGAGACATCATATTAGTTGACTTCAGTGAGATTTAGGCAGCTTGTGAGTATATTCTTAAACTCTTCATGATACAGAGAATTCAGATTATAACTATTTGCCACCACAGCAGATTTAAATTGTACCTGAAAATGTTAGCATTGCTTGGCAAGTGTACAGTGATGCTGTCTTAAGTGTCTCAATTAAATTTCTTTTAAGATCTGATTTAGCAGAGTTACTCTTTGGAATGGTCAAATGGCAAAAGTATCAATATGCAAAGGTATTAATAGGTATTTATATGCAGTTGATTGCAAAATATTAAAGAAATTCTAAAAGATTTCCTTGGTGTTTTATTTGTTCAGTTCTCATGATGACAGATTTCATTTGTTTCCCTCAGTTGAAAATTCTTGAAAATTCTGTAAAATGTTTAATCAGTTACCAACATTAGGCAGGATCCAGGGTTAGTCCTTCATAGAGTAAACACATTGAAATGAATGAGATTTAGGCTAATCACAACTAAATTAAGTCCTATTCATTTCAGTGGGGATTTCTGTGTGTAGAACTAACGTTGAATACTACTCATTGAGTTGACTCATGCAGTAAACTGTCCCATGTTTTAATAGCATCATCGTCATCATCATTTGTGTAAAAGCGAACTTTCTTTCATATTTCTTGCTGGTTGTAGCGTGACTCTGTAAATGTTCCAGGATATGTAAAATACGAGTACCATCTTTGTTGCTACTCCCACCTCTCCCAATAGAAAGCCTGCCTTTTTTGTTTCTCATGTAGAGACTGAAGCAAGACATGAAGAATCTCCACTTGGCTGCCCTTCAGTTTTCAAAGGATGTCCAACATCAGAGCAAGAGCTTTCTCTACCAGATTTTGGCTTCTACCCAACGGCTGCAGCTGCAGCTACATAATGAGGCTGTGCAAAGTGAGAGATGCATATTAGCTCAAGCTTATCAGGCTAGACATTCAAATCACTAAATAACTGCAATGAGGCAAGAGGCTTGTAAGGAGTCCAGGAGTGGAGCTGCGCTGGGGGAATCTATTGCTGGTACTAGAACAGGCCTGGGGACCTCAGGCCTGGACATCAAATCCAGCTCTCCTGCAGTTCCTCAGTTTGTAATACCCCTTCCCCTTTTGGCCTACCAGCCATTTCCTGAAGCCCACCACCAGAAGATGGTGGCTGACCTGTGCAGTTTATCCCCAGCTCTGGGACCTAGCGAGTGCCTCCTTTGAAGGTAGAAGTTCCCTTTAGCTATCATGGCTACTGGCCATTGGTGGAATTAACCTCCATCTATCCTAATAGCACTAATTCTAGAACATTATGGATAGTACATCCTTTAGACTTAGGATTACACTTTTGTAACTTACACTGATCATCTGGTGACATGGTATATTAGTGGAATGGCAAGCAGCTTGTAAATGGGTTTTATTTTTCAAGAGTAACCTCTGCCAAGGACTGATACCTTGCCATATATCTGTTGATGTGACGTGTTGTATATTTAGCTTCAGAAGTCCTATATTATGTTGTGAGCCGCCCCGAGGCTTTGTTGCAATGGGGGAGGCATAGAAATGTTTAAATAAATAAATATTAGGCCTGATTCAGAGATGACTTTTTAAGATGAGAAGGTATAGAAAGAATAGATTCTTGATTTTTCAGAAAGAACAATAAATGTGTATATAAATATTTTGCCTTATTTTGCTTGCTAATAATATATACATTCTTATAAGTATAATATGTCTTTTTCAGTGTAGAAAAGTATGCAAGGTGAGCCTAAAATAGAAAGGGTGCTTCCATACATAGTAGGGCACAATGATAACTGAAAATCTTCAGCTCTGTCTCTGACTTAGGTTGTTATGTTTTAAAAGGTGAAGTCTGGCTTCCCAGTTTTCTACCTTTCCGCACCCAAAATGCATATTCAGCAGGGCAGATCTGCTCAGTCTTTGTTCAGTTTTTGATTTGCTATGTAGTAGTCAACCTTGTTCTTAAAGGTAGGTCATCTTTGTATGTTTAATTCTTCAGCAACTAAACCTAATTTATTCTTCTGTGAATGAGACTGAGATATAAAGAAGACTTAGATACTTTTCACCAAAGCAGAACCCAATATCAAATGCAGGGAAAAATGATCTGTAGAAATAAAACCTTGCCGAAGTGGAAAGTTTATTGAGAAAGTAACCTAGAATTTAAGAGGCTGTTGTGTACTAGGATGTCTCCAATGGCAATGCAGAATGTTGGTCCTTCAGGATTATCTTAGAGAGATGTTCTTTGAGTCTTTTGCCCACCTGTGGAAACCCTGCATCCTGCAGAGGCTATTAAAGTGAGGGGGTGATAAGACAGCTCTGTTAGCCTTCAAGGAAACACCACCAGGCCCACATTAATATGGTAAAAATTGAGGTGGCAAGTAGGGGAAGGTTTGGAAAGAAGCTCCAATTCATATTGCAGAATAGAAGATGATAGATAACTTTTCTATGTCAGATCAAAGACTGAGCATATCTGCCCTTTTAAACTTAAATTAGGCAGGCATGGTATGAAGGAGGTAGAAAGAATGCCACATTGGTTCTTTTGAATAATGGGTGGTAATCAGCATTGCCAGATTATCAGGTTGAACTCCCTATCTCAAGAGTATGAGAATTCTCCAGATATGTTCAGATTGGAGCATCCATGCATTTATACATGTGCATACAAAGGTGTCAAATCTCCTACAGGAGCATTTTATTCTCACACACCTAAAAGGATTCTTGTATGTCAAGCAACCTATGTGGAATTTTGCTAGAAGGCAGAAAAATTTCTAGAATTGCTTCATGCCACACAAATGTTGTTTAGTGTGAACTCTGAATGGAGCTACAGCAAATCAACACAATGCAGTTATGACAAGACTTCTATCATGTGCCAGACTTTCCACTGACATTGGCACTGATGACTGTTTCTGGGATTATGCTTGTGCTTTCAGTATAGAGAAAAATATCAGAAACCTGAATGTTGGGCTTGAAGAAGTTGTCCCCAGGAAATATTCCTTCTAGCCCTAGACTTTGTGTCTTCCAGTTTTTCTACGGCCTCCTATTTTATAGGTATCATTGTGCAAACATTTGAGCCCTAAAGAAAGCATGTGGCTTACTAGTTCTATGAACATGTATGAAAACATCTTTTTCAGCATTTCAGACTAAAGCTCTTGAACTTGAACAAACCTTGCATGAAGTAAACGAGAGATACTGGAAGGAAAAACAAAGGAGAAAAGTACTCCATAACAGTTTAATTGTAAGTAGCCTCGTAATTCAGACTATACTGTCTAAACAGAATCAGATAAACGTTAGAGTTGCCAGGGTACCGTTCACATCCCTGCATCAGCAGAGAGGAATTCGGCTGTAGCTTTCCCTGCCTGCTCTTCCGCAGTCATAATGCCCTTTCCCTCTGGTTCAGGCTGCTGTAGGGCGAAATGGCTTTCCTGTTTGTTTCAGGCAACAAAAGAACCCATAGGCATATCCAAGTTGCAGCCTTCTTAACTTTGCTCTGGCTGTACATTTTGTGCAGCATGTTTATTTGCATTAGCACAGCAGCTTTCTAGCAGACCTTGCTTGAATCACTCCTGGGTGATTATGCAGGGCACAAAAATTATGTTCTTTCAGTATCTTGGATGCTGCCAAGGTTTGGGGCCAGTTCAGTTGTGTGTGGAGATATTAAAGGCCGTTATGGACAAAATCTGGATAGAACTTAATTACACATTAATGTCTCAGCTTCAGTTTTGCTCATGATCAGTGAAACTCCAACTTATTAAATTATCATCTCCTGCCCTACGTAAACATTTTTTTAAAAAAGTCATAACAGCAGTTTGGCACAAGATGGTGGCTTTATTTTCCTTAGTCCACCTCTTTGTCCCCTTTCTTCCAGCCATTGTAATCACCTTGTGTTCAATTGGTGGAATCAAGTGGTTGTTATTCAAGTGAAATCAGACCTTTAAGACCTATTTATATTAAGGCCATTTATATTAAATACCAATCTTTGTTAGCTATAATTTGTAACAATTTCTTTCCTATTTGCTTTTCCAAGTATGCCTTGGGTATGCTGGCTGATTATTAATAACAAATGCTTTACTTGCTTTACATCTCAGAACTCCCACAAAACATTTAATGCTGGGCACTTAAATTGTGGCGTACGAACTCTTGGCTGTATTTGCATGATAGTAATGCCCCAAGCATTTATTTTTATATTTCTTACTAAAATGCCATCATTAAAATTATGTTTTATTCAAGAAAGCTGAATTGTGCAGGCAGTATAAATTGCACACATTTGTGCAAGTTTGATTATTTTCAGAATCCTGGTTTTTTAAGTCATAAATTGTAGATGCTGAGAGCTAGGCAGGACCATAAAGACCGTGCCCTGCCAGCTCCCAAGCTTTCATGAGGTATTGCCCTCATATTTTTGGCCCTTTGGATACAGCTCTATAGGCTAAAAATGTGCTGTCTCTTTTTAAATGAATGCTAGGATTGCTAAATTCTCTGCCTTGTGCCAATTCTTCCCTCCTGTGGAGAACACTTATATTGAAGAATACCTGAATTGAAGAATATTTTCTTAAATTCCAAGATCTCCATCTCTTACATTAAAGTTGTCTATATGGATCTAATTGAGGATAGTTTAGGATAAATGGTTTGATTCCTAGTTAAAATCTGTGGGGAGTTATTGCCAAGTATTTGTGTATCAGAATGTAATGCAGCCAACCTGTCCTGGTCCAGATGTTTCACACTAGAGCTCCCAGTATTTCTGACCACTGGCCATGTTGATTGATGCTGATGGGAGTTGACATCCAAAACCTCTGGAGGGTACTAGCTGGGGAAGGCTGCTGTAGGATGCTGCTGTGCAGTGCGATCTTTTTCAAACTGCTAACTATATTGTTTCTATATTGTGTGTCCCCCCAGGAACTAAGGGGCAATATCAGAGTACACTGCAGGATCCGTCCCTTGCTACCCTTTGATTCTGTTCCTGGAGAGTCAGTCATCGAAGACAGGTAATTTATTTCATGAATATAGTTTTGCTGACTGATACTTTAAAATCTTCTGGGTGAAGACCTTTTTTATTTCCCCAAGGTTTTTTATTTTTTGTGAGTATGTTTTATTCATCTGCTGCTTTTATAGATTTTGCTATTTCAGGCTTATTTTATGCTGTTATAAATATTTTATAGGCAGCCTTCTTGATGATGTACTAGAAGGGTATAAATCTAAGTAAATAAGCAAGGATATTAATTGTTCTCCTTCTGCATGGAAATGTTAAGATTCCATGTTTTTGTATTCTGTGCAAGAGCCTTCCATGTGCTATCAGTAGATTGCAACTGGGACCTGCAGTTTGTTTTGCTTTGATTGGGGGGTGGGGAGGGGGATGGAGGGGCATATACCCTCCCTTACAGGAATGCTCCTGTTCAAGTTTCCATGCTCTGTTCCCTGCATGTCTGGCTGGCCTGACCCCCAGATGGGGATCAAGCCAGCCAACTCATCCTCCCCACTGTCCCCACTGTCCCCACTTTCCCATTTTTCTTTTCCAACTGACACTCAACATCTCATGGCCCCAGAGGTCACTGAGCATGCTCAGTCCCCACTGGATTGGATTATTTATGGAATGGGGCTTTTAAAAAAGTTAGCACTTGTCCATACTATGGGAGTTCACCCAGGCATATTAATACTTCCCTCTTCTTTCTCAATGGACCTGTTTTGGTTTCAGTGCTTTAGGCACTGAAATGATGGTACTTATTAGTATCTGTGCCAGCTGCCTTTCAACATCCTAGACCTGGTTGGTCCCAGGCAGAAGGATGAGGCATAAAGGACATGCCGTTATGGTTCTCTTTTGATCCATTTCAGTGAGTGTCTCACTGCTTTCTCAGAAAGTAGGAGAATGTAAGGAAGAAAAGAAGGCAGAGACTCCTTCTCCCTGGCGTAATTTCTTGCTTTAATCAGTTATCTTTTCAATGATTCTATGTGAGTGAGACTAAAGGTGTACGCTAACCTTATTAATAGCGGAAAGATAGCCATTAAAGTGACACCAAATTCTCCTACATTATCCTAAAGTGGCATGTATATAAATGACACCCTATAGAGCTAAATGAAAAGAGCTGTTCCCTTACAATCTGAGGCCTGATAGAACCAGCCTGTGAAGGTGAAATTGATCCCAGAAAATTATAAGTGTCCACTTATATTGGCTTGCATATGTTTTTAAGAAATATTGATTGATTGATTATAATAAACACTGTGTTTAGATGTAGTGGCCAAAGTTTTGTGGTAGTGGTGGGAAGGGCCCAATAAAACCACTGTCATTATATCTAAGAGGAAAACAATATTAGCTGAGCTCTTTATGCCCTACCCACAAGGACCAAGATAGTTTTCCAAGTTGCAGTACATTTACCTGCAAAATTGTTATGCAGAGCAGTTTAAGCATCTAAGCCTGCACTTTTCTTAACAGGTTGACTCCACAGCCAAACTAAAGGCCGTGGGGCGCCTTTTCCCAGCTGAAGGGAGACCATTATTTTCAAAACCTTGCTTGTTTTTCCCAACATTAACACAAACAGGCCCACACAAATGCAGCCACACAGCCTTCTCATTGTATCTAGGGCAGCATGCTGTTCTACATGCCCAAGTTGTTTGCAGCCCTAGCTAGAGTTGCATTTTATATTTTGTGCATAGCTGGGAGAAGATGGATCAGGACCATGGAGAGGGGGAAATCCTTTACAGCCGTGTTAAAGTCCTAGTGGAAAATCTCAGCTGACGCCTCTGTTTATATGAAGAGTATTCTTCACAGCAAGCTACGCCCTAGAAGTTGGGATCAGCTTCTCAGGCAGCTTTTGATGCAACATGCAGAGTGACTATCTGAAAGATGCATGAATGAGAACCCTCATCAAGCATCCATAAACCCTTTTGGGGATCGGAAAAGGCTGTTTGGATGCTGCCCCATATGTTTTTATGACTTCTGCTTCTGGTGGGGCAGGGTCACAGTATCAGAGCTGCAGGGAATGTTAAAAGAGGAGTAAAATTGGCTTTCTTTTCTCATGGCATTGCAACTATCTGGCAATTTCCACTTCTAGAGCCCCAGTTCACTCCTTGAACTTGCTTAGCTTAGTGGCTGATCCATCTCTGGTTGTATCCTTGCCTCCTGTTCACCACGTTCCCTTTTCTGGTGAGCAGCAAAAAGTGCCTAGAACAGGAAGAAAACACTATTTCTATCTAGCCAGAAAGTCAGCATAGCTTTCACAGGGAGAAGCAAGGGTCAAACCTTTTTATTTAAACAGTATTTTTAAAATTAGTATTTTTAATGGTTTTTAACAGTCGCTTTTGATTTATTTGATTTGATTTGTTTGATTTGATTTATTTTTATTGATTATTTATTGTATTATGTATTGTTTATTGATTGAGATTTGTATTATCTTTATTTATATTGATATTTTTGTAAGCTGTCCTGAGGCTGTGGCAAAGGACAGCATAGAAATGTTTTAATTAATAAATAAATAAATAAATAAATAAAATACACTGTACCCTGTGTTATGAGTATTGTTGAGACATGAAAAAAAATCAGTGGAGTTTCCTGGATACTTGTGCAGTTGTCTTTTTAGGCCTAGTTTGTATATTTCGAATGTTTTTCCTTACTGAATTTTTTTTAAATGTATTTTGTCTTTAAAAGGCAGAAAAGACCTTTGGAAAAAGTGGTGTGTGCAACTGATGATGTGAGTATACTTCTTATTTCCTAAACCAGGACTAGATTAAGGGAACAGTTCCCTTGAGGGAGAAGAGTAAGTATAATTTCTGGAGCCATTTCTTTTTCTCTGAGCTCTTGCTCTGAAGGCTACCTCAACCCTGCTTTGAAGCCCAGATGGCTTTGATTTTATGTCCTTTGGAGAGCAATCGTATGGTCCTCTAGACACTGTTTGGGTGGCAATAGGATAACTTAGATTCCCAGATCTGAGGTCAGAGACAAATCTTCAGCCTTGGAGAATCCATGCTGCAATCGTCTCCTTCCCTCCTCTCACAGCTGAAGTGGAAAGAGCCATGCCTGCTGCCTCTCCAAAGTTGGGCAATTGACCTCAGAGAGGGAGGTACAGGGTGTTTTAAGGGGCTGGAAACAGGAGGAGACGGGCTGCCAGGATACAAAATGGTGCACCTTTCCTCCTTTCAGAAGTGTCTCAGCTAGATGCAGAGCAGGAGGAGTGCGGAGGCAGGGATCACCTGCTTAGCAGCTTGTTTGTCAACAAAATTGCACTTTCCACCATTAATTAAAGCATGAAAATGCAAATCTTTAAGGTCTGCACTTTAAATGTGCATTATTAAAGTGCATATTTTGTGAACGTGCTCAGGTTTGGGAACTTGCAAGCATTTTCTGTGAACACTCACTCTGGTTTACATTTGGGATTGCAAACATGCCATTTTGAAGTGATTTGTGAAGTGAACTGAAATTCCCATGCATCCTTATTCTATGAAACCTACCAGCAGGGCCTGTTCAAAACTACCCTCCCAAACTGCGTGGTGCCCCAATCAACTGATCCTCCTTTGCTGTGGCTGTTTTTCTCCCTTCCCTCTATCTTCCAGCTCCCCACCCCCTCTGGTTTTTTTTTTTTTTTTCATTTCTATTCTCCTTTGCATCACCCCCCTGCCCCTCCCTCTCCCTTCTCCCTTCTCCCTTGTCTCCTTGTCAAGTATTATTTGATAGTCTTTCCCCATCCTCAGCATTGCAGAAGCAGCACACAGATATGCTCCTCCTGATTGGCAAAGTCAGTTCTCTTCTGGCTGCCCATGCTGTTCCCCTCCCCTCTGCCCCAATAACACTTAGGGCAGACTGAGTTGACGTTGGCATGGTGGTCAGTTGGTCGCAGGCGAGGCAGCCGGAGTGCGACTGCTGGCGGGCCAGGGCTATTGCTGCCAATGGCAGCCATGAACCCTCACTAGTTGGGCCCATCTGCCCAGGGCTTCCCCCTTGCTGCCAGTGCATCCATAATCTGTTGTAAGAGGACAAAGCAATGCACATTCTCTTTCAAACACACGGAGGTCCCTGGGTGGATATAGCAGAGGAGTATGGCCATTCTGTCATTCTTGACTTACACCTTCAGTTGACTGGCTGGCTTGTAAATTACTATGGGTATAGTACACAAGTAAGCAGATGTAAGATTTTGATGGAGTCAAATATTGTAATGCATTTGCTTTGATCACTGCTTGGAAGTAAGTTCCATTTTGTTCAGTGGGGGTTATTCCTCAGAAAGGGAAGGATCCTGTCCTGTTCCTGGGCAATCTGTTGCCTCAGCAAGCAGGATTAACACTGAACACATCTTCATTTCTGCTTGAAGAGCATATATATTGCTAGCAGTCTGCCACTATTTGCTCCTTCCTGAAGGCTGCTTGGCATTGCTGCTCTAACAGAAACGCATAAAGGTTGTGGTTCTGCAATCTACTTTGCCTGTGGAAAGCAAGGTATGGTTAGCTCCTTTACATCTTTTTTCTAATGCATACACCTGATTCAGTGACTGGGAATAGGAAGTGATCCATGTCACTCTGAGCTAGCTTCAGATAATCTGGGCACATTAATAATCAAAAGGCTTAGTTTGTCTCCACAGTAACTGTGAGCTTCATCACTCTTATTTTAATTAACTGTGTCAGACCAAGTCTGAGAGGATTACTTACTGAAGGAATAGCACTATCACATGGTTGAGCAAAAATCTGCAGCATTCAGAGACAGTACAGAATCACAGGGCTCAGTGCCAGCAATAGAATACCAACTTTGATAACGAATTTCTTTGGTTGTCTTGTTAGCCAACTTGAACATGCGTTTCTGATGCTGTGCTATATAGATGTGGTATAGAAAGGGTTAAACACAGCCTTGCTTTAAGTGCTTTATAGGAACCTGGTTTAAATCTGCCATACCCAAGGAGCTTCAGAGCTGAGCTACAAATCCAGATGGCATTCCAGCATTAATTAAGCCTGTTAGCAAGAAATGAAATTTGGAGGGCATGGCATGGTGGTCTGCGATGGGTACTCTAAT